AAATGTCAGCCTTTTTGCTCCTATGATGCTGCTTGGCCTGCTGTGTTCATCCAGCTCTGCACCTTGTTGTCTCTCATTTTACACACATACTTAGTTGCCTTTTTACATTAACTTAGTAAACGTATCACATTACACATCCAGTTGCTCCAGTCTCAGAGTTTACAAGATCTCTGAATGGTTAGCATAATTCATGAAAGTATTAGGGGCATCACCAGATATTTAGCAAGGAGGGACAACACTGAAAACACTTGCCAGAATTCATTAAAGTTGTCTTCACACCTTCAATTTTCTGTTGGAGACAAATGTACACAACACCCATGCAGAAAAAGAAATGTGGAACAAGGAACAATGTGGGAAATTGCCGAGGTTTGTCCTGTACACAAAAAGCAGGACAAATCCAACCCAGCCAATTACCGCCCCATCAGTCTGCTCTCATCCATCAGTAAAGTGATGGAAGATATCATCCACAGTGCTATCAAGCAGCACCCGCTCAGCAATAACCTGCCCTGTTTGGGTTTCACTACAGCCACTCAGCTTCTGATATTGTAGATAAGATGAACAGCAAAGATCTTTGCCCTAGAGTTGGGGAGTTCAAAACTAAAGGGGATAAATTTAAAGTGAGAGGAGAAAGGTTTAAAACGGACCTGAAGTGCAACCTCTTCACATAGAGGGTGGTTCGTATGTGGAACGAACTGCCAGAGGATGTGGTAGATGCAACTACAGTTACAACATTTAATACACATTTGGACAGGTTAATGCATAGGAAGGGTTTAGAGGGACATAGACCAAACACAGGCAAGTGGGACTAGTTTAGTTTGGGAAACTTGGTTGGCATGGATGAGTTGGGCTGAAGGGTCTGTTTCAATGCTGTGATTCTACGATTCTCAGGCTCTACAGCCTTAGTTCAAACATGGACAAAAAAGCTGAATTCCAGAGGTGAGGTGAGAGTGACAGCCCTTGATATTAAGGCTGCGTTCGACCGAGTGTTACATCAAGGAAACCTAGCAAAACTGGGATCAGTGAATATCAAGGGCCAAACTCTCTGCTGGCTGGAGTCATTCTTGGTGCATAAGAAGATGGCTTTGGTTGTCGGAAGTCAGTCATCCCAGCTCCAGGACATAACTTCAGGCTCATTCCAGGCTCAACTATCTTCAGCAGCTTTATCATCAACCTTCTCTCCATCATAAGGTGAGAAGTGGGGATGTTCACTAATGATTACAAAATGTTCAGCATCATTCATGTCTCCTCAGATACTGAAGCAGTCCATATTCAAACGAAACAAGATCTGGACAATATCCAGTCTTAGGCTGACAAGTGGCAAGTAACATTCATGCCACACAAATGCCAGGCAATGATCATCTTTAATAAGAGACAATCTCACACCGCTCCTTGACTTTCAATGGTGTTACCATCACTAAATCCTCCACTATCAGCATCCTTGGGATTGCCATTGACTAGAAACTCAACTAGAGTCACCATATAAACATAGTGGCTATAAGAGCAGGTCAGAGGCTGGGAATACTGCAGCGAGTAACTCCCCCCCGACTCCTCAAAGCCTGTCCACCATTAACAAGGCACAATTCAGGAGAGTGATGGAATACTCCCCAGTTGCCTGGTTGAGTGAAGCCCTAACAACACTCAAGAAACTTGACACCATCCAGGACAAAGCAGCCCACTTGATTGGGCACTGCATCCACAAGCATCCACTCCCTCCACCACCAATGCTCAGTACGAACAGTGTGCACTATTACAGCACCTTCCAAATCCACAACCACTTCACCTAGAAGGACAAGAGCAGCAGATACATGGGAATACTGGCATCTGCAAGCTCCCCTCCAAACCACTCACCATCCTGACTTGGAAATATGTTGCCGTTCCTTCACTGCCACAGGGTCAAAATTCCCTCCCTCATGGCATTGTGGATCAACTTACAGCAAGTGAACTGCAGCGGTTCAAGAAAGCAGCTCACCATCATTTTCTCAAGGGACTGTCAATAAATACTGGCCCAACCAGCGATGACCAAATCCCAGGAGTGAACAAAATACTGCGGGAGTTCACTGAGTCTTTAGGATATCAGCAAAGTAAAAAGTTTCCCTTGCTTTGTCCCAAGGAACTTCTCTGAAGCTTCATTGTATGCTTCAATATCTAAGTTCTAAAATCAATGAATTTCCTCTTCAAAACCATTTCAATCCCAGGATTTAAAGTCAGATGATGGAATTCGGAAGTCAATAGTTTACACTTTATCACTATTGAGACACTGATATTGAAATTATAAATGTTTATTTCATTGAAACCTTTATGCAGTTGTAGTAACAGCAGTTATTTATGATTTGAAATAACTGTTCCAAGATGTTGACAGATCACTGAAACATCGTAGCTATTACTGAGCTGAAATTTGAGCTCAACGGGTGTGTGTTGAATATCGGAAGCCCTCACTGTTTGACCAGAGAGTGGCCTCTATGGCAGAAAGAAGAGACTGGAGCCTATAAATAAGGTGAGTACAGAGGTTTTGTGCTGACAATCTGGACCAGAGTTAACGTTACAGTCATTGGTCTTGGAGCAAAGCACTAGAAGTGAAACATCACAGGTGCATACTCTGCGGATTGTTGGTGAGTGTCTCAGAAAACAGTGATTGAGAATTGGAGTAGGGTGATCTGTGAAAGTCTTCGACTCATGGACCATCAGTATGCGTTTTCAGTTCTTGACAGTGAGATACAGATTTCAGATAGACCATGCTGGCCAAGCAGGAACCAGACTGAACAGGGATATATCCTATCAGTCCTTGCTCTTCATGTTACTGAGGCTCCATTGAGGGACTGTTCTACAGAATGGCAAATAACATGCAGCTATTAGTGGAGATTAGAATGAGAATGGATGAATATCGAATGGAAATGCGTCTGATTTCATGGTGTCAAATCTACAGATCCAATCCTGGCCCTGAAGCCTATGTTATGAACTTCTTAAGAACAATAAGGGCTTAGTGTCATTAGCCTTATACCACTGGGTCATAAGAACGAATCCTCAAATGGTCAGCAACTACGTTCTGTTACCTTTTACATCTACACCACAGCATCCTTATCAAAAATTAGATCTAAGGGCTGAATTTAATGCATTTCTAAGGGTCGGGGCACATTCAATTGAGCAGGTGTCTGCCCACCTGGTCAATCTGTAATTATGCCACTGGTGAGAGGGGCCTTCCCACCAGCGACCACATTGATGCCCTTAAGTGGGCAGTAAGTGGTGTTACGTGCACAGCCACCTCTGATTAGTCAGCAGCTGGCTTTTCAGTGACCGTGCGGCAGCCATTCACCCACTGGGCACTGTCCCCTTCTGGCTTTTAGCCACACAACTTTCTAGTTCATTAGAGAATCAAACTGGACAGTATAAATTCTCAAAGAAGCTCATTGCACACCTTATTTGTCCTATGATCATGATAAGAAACTTCCATTGCATGTGGAACAAAGGGGGTGGGGGGAGTTGCTATTTGTTTATTTTAGTGCCACTTCTAATGCCACCACGATGAGGTATGCCCTGGACAGCCTGTGGCATTTGTCGCTGATATCATTCAAGACACTGCGTAAAACATGTGGGTAATGTCCACCGAGTCACCTGCCCTGAGGCAATTAAATGTGTACTACTGCTTTATCATCATCTTCCCTTCTGCATAAACCCCTCTCCCCCATCCCCATCCACATCTGTCACCCAGCCACTCCCCCAGCCTGGCTTCAAGTAAAGGAACAGCCAAACATAAGTCTGTGTAAAGTGAGTTAACTCCAGAACCTTGATTTCTGGACTTGGTCCAGAACTTGCCCCCTTTGTTGAAGTTTGACAACGATCCACTGGAACAGTTCCCCAAGATTTTGAACACAACTGAAGAAAAACATTCATGCAATTGACAGCCCTGTTATGTGCATTTATACAGTCATAGAGCTTGAAAACAGGCCTTTTGATCTAACCACTCCACGCTGGCTATGTTTCCAAACTAAACTAGTCCCACCTTTTTTTTAATTCATTCATGGGATGAGGGCATTGCTGGCTAGGCCAGCATTTATTGCTCATCCCTAATTGCCCAGAGGGCAGTTATGAGTCAACCACATTGCTGTGGGTCTGGAGTCACGTGTAGGCCAGACCGGGTAAGGATGGCAGTTTCCTTCCCTAAAGGACATGAGTGAACCAGATGGGTTTTTCCAAGAATGGATTCGTGATCAGCATTAGACTCTTAATTCCAGATACTCATTGAATTCAAATTCCACCAGCTGCCGTGGCAGGATTCAAACCCAGGTCCCAGGAACATTACCTGGGTCTCTGGATTAACAGTCCGGTGATAATACCACTAGGTCATTGCCTCCCCTCTGCATGCGCTTGGCCCATATCCCTCTCAACATTTCTTATTCATGTACTTATCCAAATGTCTTTTAAATGTTGCAACTGTACTCACATCCACCACTTCCTCTGGAAGGTTATTCTAGACATGAACCACTCCCTGTGTAAAAAAAGTTGCCTCTCATGTCCTTTTCAAATTTTCTCCTCTCACTTTAAACATATCTTCCCTAGTCTTGAAATCCCCCACCCTAGGGAAAAGACAATCGCCATTCATCTTTTCTATACCCCTTATGATTTTATAAACCTCTATAAGGTCACTCCTCAACCTCCTACACTTCAGTGAGAAACGTCCCAGCCTATCCAGCCTCTCCTTATAAATGTTGAATATCCTCACTAGGAAGGAGGATGAAAATCTGATTTGAGGAATTTGTTGTTAATGCACGTTCAGCAACCCTGCTGTGCAAAGGACTTTTCCAAATGCATTGCCCAAAAGCAGCAGCAAAAATAAACGTACGGAAAAAAAATGTGGCATAGTTCTACTACCAAGTCAGTTATTTGTAAACAAAATGTAAACTGCTGAGAGTACAGAAGTTGCAATAAACCAGATATGGCATCATTTCAGTGATATACACTGTCAGAAATAAGGTGCAGAGAATGGCGTTTTTTAGAAATCTTACCTTCCTCATCGCTGTGCCACCTTGTCCCCTGTCAATGCCAGCACTTGCATACCTGTGTGAATAAAAATGCCTGTGTACAGCATTATCTTCAGCAGAGCAAGGAGATCTTCCACTGTTTTTTCAATTGAAGGAATACAGCATTAAGTGAACTGAACATAGCCTTTTCATTTCTTCAATACTGTGTTGACAATTTCAAATTAATTTCATGAAAATGATTCATGTTCTCAGTCCATGCCACATACTTCTGACAAACAGTAAGTGTTTTTGACAAGTAGGTAAATGACCCAAAGTAATAATTCTTAAAATGTTGTTAGCACTTAATAAAAACAAGAGTCAAAGAATTTGCCAATCTCTTTAGCTACCACTTTAGTGCCTATTAGTCTCTTAATAACAACAAAGGTGTTTAAATGAAAGGCCTTTCATGTAGTTGGATGTGATCAAACCAGTCCTGAGCAAGGGTTTTAAGATCTCAAACATTAGATGACTCTTGTTTTGCACAGATGTTGCTTGATCTGCTGAGCATTTCCAGCTTTTACTTGCTTATAATTTATAATTAATCAGGCACACCAGTCCCTTAGAAACCATGAATGTATGGTCACTTCCTTCAAAGCTGCAGCGCCTCAAATGACAACCTGTTCATACAAAATCATGGCACACTGAGGCCAAAAGTAATAAATTATTCCTTTCTGATATGCCAGTGGACACTAATGAGTGCCATTATGGCAGCAACCTCATCAAGAAATTCAAACAATACAAAGCTGCAGAGTTCCAGGGAGCACAGCCACTATCTGAAACCCAAGATAATTTCCTTTGCAAAAAAATTCAATATTTGCAGTTTCATGTGATGGGATAGTTTTACTTATTAACCTGAAAATTGAATGTAATAAAAGGTGATCATTCCTGACTATTGGCCATGGCATGCCAGGAAATGAAAATAAAAAAGAAAGCTCATGAAAGGCAAAATAATCAAAATGTTTTCTATTATAACATTGTGACATTATAGTAACGTAAAAATAGGAACTGCAGCAGGCCATTTGGCTCTTCAAGCCTGCTTCACCATTCAGTATGATCATCTGACTCAATACCCTGTTCCCACTTTCTCCACTTATAAGGAGCAAATGTATGTCCTGCTATGGAGGTACCGCTGATGCAAACTATTCTTAGCAATGAAACTAGGGTGGAATTTAACAAAGGGTCTCTTAAACAGGGGTCTCAGCTGCACATTCCTCAAGAGAAGGTCTGGGGCACAGGTACAATAGATAAAATTATTCTGGGAGTAAACATTCTGTAACTCGATCATTAAGTGCCAATTGGGCACTTAACTGGACAACCTTGGGCCTTTGCTGCAATCAAACATCCAAGGAGTGGACGTCTCGCCCACAAGAGCTACCAGCCAATGAGAGGCCAAGGTGGTACGGTGGCTCAGTGGTTAATCTGCTGCCTCTCAGTGCCAGGGACCTAGGTTCAATTCCACCCACAGGTGACTGTGTGGAGTTTGCACATTTTCCCGTGTCTATGCGGGTTTTAGCCGGGCGCTCCATTTTCCTCCCACAGTCCAAAGATGTGCAGGTTAGCTGGGTTAGTCATGGGTAATGCAGGCCCACAGGGATGGGATGGGTCTGGGTGGGATGCTCTTCAGTGGGGCTCGATGGGTTAAACGGCCTGCTTCCACATCGTAGGGATTCTGTGATTCTAACTCTTCATTGCTCAGCAGCATCCCAGGACAGGTTGTGGCTACTACTGGTATTGCACCCTCCTGAGACCCGAGATGGATGAGGGACCCAGGCTGCAGATGAGTTATGGCAGGATGGTGGTGGGATGGGGGGGTGGAGAGTCGGAAACAGGGGTGGTAGTAGAGGATTGCTAGGTGTTGAGACTGGGCTGCTTTTCATTGGCGACACCAAATGTAGACTGGCTGACTACTTTGCAGAACACCTCCATTCTGTCCATAGGAGTGACTCTAAGCTCCCAGCTGCTTGCCAATTCAAGAAACCACCTTGCTGCCATGCCATCATTTCTGGACCCGGCCTACTGTAATTTTCCAATGATTCACAACACAAACTCAAGGAACACCTTATTTTCTACTTAAGGACTTTACAGCCTTGAGTTCTCAATATCAAATTCAATAAGTTCATTTGCCGACTGCATTTGTCTAATGTCCAGTTTTCTTCCATTTCCCTCCACCTGAGCTATGTTGAGTTTGTGTCTTGTTTACTTTACATTTCGTAGAAAGGAATAATTCTCTCCCATCTCTCCTTAATTTACATCCTTTTTACATTTTTTTTTCTTTCGCCAAGAATAACAACCCCTTTTGCTTTGTGCTATGCCTCTAGATCATCTGCTCTCTTGGTCTTCCTCTGTATCTGTCAAAAGTACAACAAAGAGCCTACTTCCCAACACCTTTCACTTCTGATAACAGGCTCAAAATGTTAACTCTATTTCTCTCTACAGATGCTGCCAAACGTGATAAGGTTAGGAAGATCTTGATAGAAATATACAAAGTATCAAACAGACCACCCCTCAAATACTGTGAACAGTTTTGGCCCCTATATCTAAGGAAACACATACTGGCATTGGAAGCAGTCCAGAGAAGGTTCATCAGATTGATTCTGGAAGAGACTGTCTCATGAGGAGAGGTTGAGTAGGTTGAGTTTAGAAAAACGTCCTTGAAACATTTAAGATTCTTAAGGGACTTCACAAGGCAGATGTGGAAAGGTTGTTTCCCCTTGTGGGCCAGTTGAGGACCAGAGAACACAACCTCAGAGTAACAGGATACCTAGTTAGGACATGTGAGGCAGAATTATTTTCTCTCAGAGGGTAATCAATCTGTGGAATTCTTTATTGCTGTCATAGCTGCTTTGTTAAGTATATTCAATGCTGAGATAGACAGATTTTTAGTCCCTAAAGGAATCAAGGGTTATGAGAAATGGGCGGGAAAGTGGAATTGAGAATTATCAGATCAGCCATGGGTTGATGACTTGATGGGTTGAATAGCCTATTCTGTTCCTGTGTGTTAAGGTCTTGTTTACCGAAAGTTTTTTTTGAATTTGCTTTCACTACCCTTTCCAGACATGCATTCAAAACTTGCTACGCTGAACAACGTCTCATCTCCTCCAGGTCGTTGCTTTAAATCTGCGGCTTCTGGTGAACCACTCTCGGCCTGCGGAGATAGTAAAAACTGCTGATGCTGGAGTCAACCTGAATTTGTTCTGGTCTCTGATTCCCAGCGACAGCGTTTTTTTAGCTTCTACTTTACAATGTCCCCTTTTCTCTTGCTGCTCCTTTCCCACTTAAACCAATTACATTAACCTGGATTTGCGTTTCCACTAAACTGATGGAGAGAAATTTTAGGCACCTTTGTTGTGTTTATGTAATCATAACACAACTGGACCAAATTTCTGTCTGACAGCAACACAGTCCAATAAGGTAATACATTGCAGTCCAACAAAATAGTTTCTTTTCATGTCTCTGAACAGGTTGCTCCCAGAATTTAAGAACTGCACTCATCCATCTTGGTGGCAGGACAAGTTGATAAGTCTGTCAAAAAACAGATTAAATATGATCTTTGAAGTAACTCCGCAGAGTCCAGCATCCCATCACCAAGTCACACTTGCACAAGACATGGGCTCTGGCCAGCTAGCTCAGAGCCAGTACCTGGAATGAGGAGAATCACTGAGACTCCTGTTTATAGCTGTCAGCCACGGCTTCCGGATTGGCTTGGTTAACATCCCCAGTCAGGGATCTTATACTCAATGAGATCCAACTGGCCAACCTGGTTCCAATCAATACAATCCTAGAATTTATAAGCAGGGGAATAAAGTAATGAAGTAAGAACCATATGGTGAATCTTAATAAATCACTGTTTAGGGCTCAGTTGGACTGTTCTATTCAAATGTCGGAGCAATGCCTTGGAGAGGCTGCAGAAAACATTTATCTGAGTGGTTTTGAATTGAGGGATGTCAGCAACATAGAGAAGCTTATTGAGAGATTTATTTGGGGTGTTCAACATTAAGCACGATTCTAATAGAGTAAACAGGGAGAAGCTGTTTCCACAGGCAGGAGATAACACAGTGTGGAGCTGGATGAACACAGCAGGCCAGGCAAAGAAGGGTCTCGACCCGAAACGTCAGCTTTCCTGCTCCTCTGATGCTGCCTGGCCTGCTGTGTTCATCCAGCTCCACACTGTGTTATCTCCTGCCTGTGGAAACAGTTTCTCCCTGTTTACTCTATTAGAATCGTGCTTAGTGTTGAACACCCCAAATAAATCTCTCAATAAGCTTCTCTATGTTGTTGACATCCCTCAATTCAAAACCACTCAGATAAATGTTTTCTGCAGCCTCTCCAAGGCATTGCTATCCCACGTAGTGCTCCGACATTTGAATAGAACAGTCCAACTGAGCCCTAAACAGTGATTTATTAAGATTCACCATATGGTTCTTACTTCATTACTTTATTCCCCTGCTTATAAATTCTAGGATTGTATTGATTGGAACCAGGTTGGCCAGTTGGATCTCATTGAGTATAAGATCCCTGACTGGGGATGTTAACCAAGCCAATCCGGAAGCCGTGGCTGACAGCTATAAACAGGAGTCTCAGTGATTCTCCTCATTCCAGGTACTGGCTCTGAGCTAGCTGGCCAGAGCCCATGTCTTGTGCAAGTGTGACTTGGTGATGGGATGCTGGACTCTGCGGAGTTACTTCAAAGATCATATTTAATCTGTTTTTTGACAGACTTATCAACTTGTCCTGCCACCAAGATGGATGAGTGCAGTTCTTAAATTCTGGGAGCAACCTGCTCAGAGACATGAAAAGAAACTATTTTGTTGGACTGCAATGTATTACCTTATTGGACTGTGTTGCTGTCAGACAGAAATTTGGTCCAGTTGTGTTATGATTACATAAACACAACAAAGGTGCCTAAAATTTCTCTCCATCAGTTTAGTGGAAACGCAAATCCAGGTTAATGTAATTGGTTTAAGTGGGAAAGGAGCAGCAAGAGAAAAGGGGACATTGTAAAGTAGAAGCTAAAAAAATGATGTCGCTGGGAATCAGAGACCAAAACAAATTCAGTTATCCTCAGCAAGTAAACGGTTCAGATAAGACGCATGGGTAACAAGTCCAATAAATAAAGCTAGCCTGGCATTAGATGCGAAGATGTACTGAAATGGGTGATATTGCAATAAATATAAGTCACTTGTAGGTCAATGCTCTGTGACACAAATCTACAATACTGATATGTGAGGTGGAAGCAGTGGTTGGATCTCTCTCAAATTTGCCTCAGCAGTTTGATAAAATCCCACCTTTCTCAAATCCATTATAAAAGTGCATCAAACAGATCAATATCCAATTTCATATAGACTCCTGTTGGTAGAAAGAAAGATGAGCTGTAAGATATAGGTGTTAAATCACTGAAATTCAGGGCTATGGAAATATTTCAGGTTATTTTTATGACTTGTGGTAGATTTTACTAATCAGGACCGAATATGCTCTTCTTAATTAACATCATAACATGATAAACTTTCTCTTAATCTCATTTCGCTCCAGGTAGGATTTGGAGGTGTGTTTCCATCTGACACTTATTTAGCCTGTTTTCAACATATACTTCATTGACACTGTGCAATATTAAGAGGAGATTCCTTTTGAATTTGTGGGGTAAGTATTTTGAAAGTCAAATCTATTCAAAATGAACCTGATGTTAAAAGCTTCCAGATCAGGGATGGAACCTTGACGTCCTCTGATAACATTATGTAGCAACCCTGCTGGTTGGCTTCTCTCTGTCGCCACCTTATGAGAGGTGGCCAATTGAATGGCGACCTCCTTTCTTCCCTTCAAGAAAGCACGGCAGGAGTCTCAGTTAGAGGGCCTGAGGCTTTGGGCAGGCAGTTGCTCAACTGGAAAGGTTTACCCTGCTGAGGCAGACAAGAGAATGCCAGGGTGGCTCAAACAACGACAACAACAACAAAAATCAAATCATGGCAATGGCCATCAGGCCACCATTGTAGAGGGCTTGTGGGGCCTGCTCATTCTGTACTAGAGTGATTAACAAGGAAGTGCCATGTCTTCCCAGCCTGCCACTGGGTTGACCAGCTCTATTTGCCTACGGACGAACACGGGAATTAGGGTGAGGCTCTTCGGCTTCTCAAGCCGCTGCTCCATAAAAGTCATAGCTGATCTGATTGTGGCCTTAGCTCCATGTTCGTACCTAACCCCATAACCCTTGCAGGTAAAAAAAAAACCTAGTTCACCCTTCAACATGTGCACTGACCTAATCTCCTCAGAACGGAATTCCACAGCCCAATAACCCTCTGAAAGAAAAATAAATCTGCTTATCTGAATTTTAAATGGAGAACGCACCATTTTTAAACTATGTTCCCTAGTACTAGATTGTTCCACAAGTGGAAACATCCTCTCAGCACCCACACTGTCAAGTCCCCTCAGGATCTTATGTTTTTCAACACAACCTCTCATTCTTCTAAACTCCAACATAGGCCCACCCTGGACTACCTCAACTCATAAGATAACTTGCTCATTTGGAAATCAACTGAATGCACCTTGTCTGAAATGCCTCTAATGCAATTATATCCTTTCTTTAATAAGGACAGCAAAACCGTACATAGTACTCCAGATGCGGACTCATCAACACTTCTCTGTTGAACTGTAGCATAACTTCCCCATTTTTATACTCATTCCTCCTCTTAAAAAAAACCCACCATTCCATTTGCCTTTCTAATCACTTGCCGCATCCTGCCTATCAACCTTTTGTGATTCATGGATCACAATTCATGCACCCAGATTTCTCCTCATGTAACAGGTAACCCGGAGTCGGCAGTCACCCTTCATTCAAATAATATTCTGCTTTTCCACTGTTCCTACTGAAGTGGACAGTTTAATCATTTCCCATATTATACTACATGTGCTAATTGTTTTTGCCAACTTACTTAACCTACGTAAGTTCCTCTACGGACTCACTGGGATGGATTTTCTGAGGAATGGAAATCTCATGCAGGTTGTCGCTCTGTTACTTTCTTTTCTTGAGACAAGAGGGCTCTGCATTTCTGAGAGCGGAATCTGCTCAGGGCTCCTCCCGAAACGCAGAGACGTACTTTCATCCTGTCAGCCTGTCAGAGGAAGGCACACCATGCTGCTCTTTCGCAGCAGTCAGAACTTGAATGTTCAGAATCACAGACAGCCACTTGAACAGCTGTTGTCAAACATCAAGTCTGTAAGATAAGGTAAGTGTAGATGCTCTCGTAGTGCAGTGGCTCTGTCCCTACCTCTGATCCGGGAGGTCCAGGTTCAAATTTCACTTGTTCCAGAGATGTGTAATAATATCATTGAATAGGCTGATTTGGAAATATCTATGAGGTAAGTGTGATGTTAGGGAGCGTATGTAGTGGGGTAAATACGGTGCCAGGTACATAGGGGTGCAAGCGGTGCCAGGTACATTGGGTGACATGTAGGTCGGTTGCCAGTTGGGCGCAGGGTTAGATTCCAGCACGGAGGGTGAAAGATGGGTAAGGATGCCAGGGCACAAGTTAGCAAGGGGGTCAAGTAAGTGATGGAGTGTTCAGAGTGGGTCGGGGTGTGAGGGAAATCAGGTCTAACAAAGGAGGGTCCTTACTGGTTCAAGTGGGGGAATGTGCTGGTGGAGGTCTGTCAAGTCCAGAGCAGGGAAAGGAGGAGATGGAGCAAGGAAAAGGAAGGGTGCAGGCAAAGTGGGTCTGATCGAGAGCAGGTCAGAATGGGTCAGTTTGGGTTCAAAGTGGGTGAAGAAGGGTCGGGTCCCGGGGCTGTGTGGGCAGGGTCTGGGAGTTTTCTGGGGTCGAAGCTTGGTGAAGTCAGTGTGGGATTCTTCCCGGTCTACAAGCAGCGCTGTAGAAGTATCCAGCTCCTCTACAAAAATGTCCTCACCTCCATTCAGAGACCGGGCTTGTGAGGGTCGCACGCCTTACCATCCATTGACAAACCTGCTGCACCAAGTCCAATCACAGTCTGCCATCTCCATTAACATACATAGATATGTTTGTGCACTTATTCACATATAATGCCAATCTCCCTCCAGAGAGTAGGCGGGCCACAAACTCCCTCTCCCACTAGTGGCACCTCACCCATCTATTCATTCTTCACAATATGGCCAAGGAGGCACTGGTTATAGAAGACTGCTTGCTCCTGCTCTCAGCTGATTTCCCCCCGAGTTGCGGTCAGCAGAGGCAGGGGTGTCATGGCAGCGCACGGACATGCAAAAATCCCTGATCGACCTTCCACCTCTCTGCCTGTGCAGCGCTCAGTTGTCCCAGCCTGACTGCTGACTTAGCTTAAAGTTGCATGGTATGACCTTTGGCACTGCCTGCTGTTGGCGTGTTTATGTTGTCCACTTCATTTTAATGGAGAGTGCCCCTGGGCAGCAGAGCTCAGGACACACGCAAGCTTTGAAGTCTTGCCAACCTTTCTGTCAGGGCACTTTCACCTTGCTTAGACTTCAGTGCAACCCCTCACTCAAACAGAAGCCTTCAAACAATAAAATGGTCAGGTTTTACTTAATTTACTATCTCTTCCGTGGCATACATTCACTGTCCACATCGAGGTGATTCTTTTACACTTTGAACAATCAATCATATTTCAAGAAACGTAATCAGAAAGAAAAGATTTACCTTTCAGTCTCCCCAACAATAGAATCCCCTGCTCGCTGCAAACAACAAAAGATGGGAAGAGGAAAGAAAAAGCTGTGTTAAAGTCTTTAACAGAAATGAAACAAGCCCCATTTCCCATTATTAAAACATTCAGCAAGTGTGTTCCAACATACCTGAAATGTGAGATCATAAACTGCAACAGGTATGAACAGTGGTTACTGTAGAGGAGCAAGCTGAAACAACTCAGTAATGTGATAAATACTTGTCTGCAAGATCTAAAGGCTTACGTTTGCCTCACTGCCGCTGATGACACCCAGACCCACCGACAGCAGGTTTCATCTACTTTTAGTCAGAAGTTCATGCGTTGGAGGCTTGTAGTGTTTTCCCCACCCACAATTTTGTTTTTCAAACTTGTGAGACACAGATATTACCAGATGCTCATGTTTTTGGTTCTACATCCAGGCTAGCTGATATGCCACTTGTAGAAACTAAAAGAAAATGTACTAATGGACGCCCAGATTACACTTTCACAACAGGATGTTTGGATTCTCTGGTACAGTCCCTCCATTTCCTCATTGTCAGAAGAACTGGTCATTCTTTCTTGTTGACACAAAAGTTCTCTCTCTCCCTCTCCAGTCTTACAATTAGCCAATGGATGAATGTCCTGCTCATGAGAGTCCAAAATAGACTCTAGAAGCTGTCTGTCTAATCTTGTTTCTTGGGGAGAAGAATGTCTTTGCTCTGACTTCTTTTGTGACTTTTACCTCTCTTAATGCTTATTCCAGGAAAGTTTCTTGTAAGAATGTTCCTCTAACCACGTAAAGATGGAAAGCTAACTGAACAGTTACTTAGCAGCACCAATCATGCAAATTTTGAGCTAACAAGTTAGTTAGAACCAGTACAACTGAATGTATAAAACAAAAAAATCTTACTGAACCAAATGGTAGAAATATGTTTCAATTCATACAGAAGGCTGATCTGAGAGTATTTCGTTCAAGATATTTAAGAGATCCAAATGAGGGACTACCTTGGAGATAGCAAGAACTGCAACTGCTGGAGTCAGAGTCAATACAATGTGGAGCTGGAGGAACACAGCAGGCCAGGCAGCATCAGAGGAACAGGAAAGACATTTTTAAAAAGGCCATCCAACCTGTAGACAGGTTAATCTTCTCCTGTTAAAATTACGGACAGAAAAATTGACCATTTGTATGACATTAGTAGTTTCTAGGCTACTAATGTGTTTCTTATATAACAATATGAAAATATTAAGGAGAGGCAAAGGGCCATTGGACATGCTGAACCTCATTCCTTTTTGAAAGGATGTTATGGATAATTCCATGATCTCCGCGTCCACATTGGAGCCATGTCCTTGGAGAGGGAGGATTGGAAACTTGAGGCTGTGGTACAGTCTTACCTCAAGCTACCTTCCTTTTGACCACAACCTCTACAGCTGGCAGCTCAGGATTATGCCACGAGATCATTTCTCACTTTAGCATAAACCACAATTTTTACATATCGCTAACGAGTTTGCGGCATTTTATGTAATCCCGACGAGAGCAAAGCTATATCTTCTTGATGACTTGTCAGTATAAAACTGTTAATGGCTGGACACAGTGAAAAGAGTGAGAAAGCTAAACAGAATTTCATGAGCTGAATGTGACATAACATATACCATAGAACAGTGAGTAAAATTCTAGATGCAGTAAACACAATAATTATAGATGCTTAAAACTTTGCACGCCATGTGGTAAAGAGTCAATTCTGCACAAAATGTATACAAAAAAACTTGAGAAGTAATTTCCACATTTTTTGACTATTTGTTAAAAGAGAGATATGAGTCATTTTTCATTCCTTCTGAAAATGTTTATTTATTTCTCTTGATTAAGGTCTGTTAAGGTCAGCTTTTTTTAATTGTTTCATGGATTGTGGGCATTGCTGACTGGGACAACATTTATTGACCCCCACCCCCTTTCACTGCCCTCAAAGAGTATGGTGGTGAGCTGCCTTCTTGAACCACTGAAGTCCTTTTTGGTGAGGGAGGTCCACAATGTTGTTGGGGATGGAGGTCCAGGATTTTGACCCAGCGACACTGAAGGAACGGCAATATATTTCCAAGTCAGGATGGAGAGTGGCTTGTAAGGGAACTTGGAGATGTCGCGTTTCCATGTATCTGCTGCCCTTATTCTTCTAGATGGAAGTGGTTATGGCACTGTCTCAGGAGCCTTGGTGCATTTCGGCACTACAACTTCCAGATGGTATGCATTGCTGCTACTGTGCATCAGTGGTGGAGGGAGCGAATGTTTGTTGTTGTGATGCTGATCAAACAGTCAACAATGGTGTCAAGGTTTTTGAGTGTCATTGGAGCTACACTCATCCAGGCAGGTGGGGAGTAGTCCATCATGCTGCTGACTTTGCCTTGTTGACAACAAGGCTTTAGGGAGTCAGTAGGTGATTTACTCAGTACAGGATTCCTAGCCTCTGAACTGCTCTTGTAGCCACAGTTCATACAGTTAGCCCAGTTCAGTTTCTGGTTAAGTTGGACAGATTTGCTGCACAGATGTTTGAATGGCATATTACAACCACTTCAATAACACAACCCTCATACTTTCGGACATTCTTAACACTGCCAAGATGATTAACCAAATCCTCATTAATAAACAGATCATTTTCATCTTTAACTCAAAACTTGAATTGATTTCAAAATAACAGTTCAGACAACAAAAAGATAGTTCCTTCGCCTCAATAATTATATCGTGAGATATTAGCATCCGTAATTATCCATAATGCACTACATCAGTGGGTGCCATTTCCAACTAGGCAAAAGGGAGGAGAGAGAGATTTCAAACACATTACTCCATAAGAACACAATGATGTCATTTTAATGACATGGTCATTAAATGGTCATTTAATGGTCTTGAAGTTGTACCAAGAGTTTTTAGTCTAGTTTCCTTCTGTAGGATGTGATTTAAGAACACGTTATCAGTTAATAAATAACCCCACAATTATTAGTAATGCTCTATTTGTGAATATATATTCCTGGAACAGAGTAAACAGCTAATTGAAGCACAGGACTGGTGACAAAGCCACAACAGAAGTTGATCAATATATCTACCCTAGCTCTTGCAACAGATCAGAACTGGATGTTCCCCATGAGAAACAATGTTTCACACTTACAGTGTCTTAATGTAACAGAACATCATACGACACCTTGAAGTGTTACAAGATGGAAATTTGGCAACCAGCAACATTAGGATGTCTGAGGCTACATGACCAAAAGCTTGGTCGAAGAGACAGCTTTTAAGATGTCTGAGGCTACATGACCAAAAGCTTGGTCAAAGGGACAGCTTTTAAGATGTCTGAGGCTACATGACCAAAAGCTTGGTCAAAGGGACAGCTTTTACGATGTCTTACCTACTAAATGCAGGTGAATTTTTAATTTGCTTCCTTTCATGAATGATATTTCCGTCAAGGTACAAAACCTTACAAAGGTAAATAGCTGCTTCACACATTTGGGAAAATAATTACCTTTTCCAAGCATTGAACTGAATGTTGCTTCTGTGTCAAATTAAACGGATGAAAAATCATTTGGGTCCCAAAGGGGAAGGGAAACGTTGATCCCTGTGCCTGGATTTATATGCTGTGCTCTTCACAGAATCCCTACAGTGTTGAAGCAGGCCATTCAGCCCATCAAGTCCACAATGATCCACCCCTCTACCCTCTCCGTAATCCTGCATTTCCCATAGCCAATCCACCTAACCTGCACATCTTTGAAATGTGGGGCAAATCATAAGCACCCTGAGGAAACGCACATAGACATGGGGAGAATGTGTAAACTCCATCGAACCCAGGTCCCTGGCACTGTGAGGCAGTGTTGTCCTTCCCTGATTTAAATGTCAGCTCTGCAGATGGTTGAATCAAATTCACAAATTCATGACAGAATTGGAAACCTGATGGAAGAAAGGAATCACCCCTTTGTGTTTGTGTGTACAAAACAAAATGTTCAATTCATGAGAAAAGCACTGGGTTACTCAATACCTTGTTTTTGCTGCACTTCTACTTACAATTACTGACATCATCGACAGGAACTGAAACCCTTCCTTGTTATGAATGGAATTAATGACACCATAGTTCAACCTTTTTAAAGTAAAGGTTAGACTTCATGAGTTTTCCACTTAGACCAACTTCATCAATTGTTTCTGAACTCCCCCATCTTGCCTAACAGCTTGCACTTGCACATCCTCATCATTCAGTCTGTCATGTCTGTCACGAAATTCCATGATAAACCTTGAATGTAGAGCCCAGTGTCACTTCATTTGGCAGGTACAGTGGAGGGAGTTGAATGCAGGTTGCTGTGACGAACCTGAATCTGGTTAGGGTGTTAAATCCCCAAAAAATCAGCTCCAGTTCTAGAGTTACGCATCTAAACGCAGCGTGCTAGGCTATGGATGGGCAATACTCATGGGAGATTGGGGTGTGAGTGGGTGGAGGTGGTATCGTCAATTTCAAACAGCCATTCACTCAATTACAGCAACCCTGTGATGGCTTTTGGAATCTAAGTTTGGGTCCAAAAGGTTTTCCGGGACACAGCAGCGCAACCCAGGCGAAACCCGTGGCGCTTTTGATGTGACAGAGAATAAGCACAGGTATCCTCTAACTGCTTGGTACCTGTTGTTTAAAAGGTTTTATCACAGTGCTTGCACAAGCTTTACGACCCCAGGGGTGTTGTTTTGAGCTTCGCATGTCTCATCTGCATCCTGCAGCTCGGATCTATCAGAACAGTGTTGACTGCCATTTATGTTGGATGCCATCAGGACCTCCTGTGGCAGAGACAGGCAACAGTTTACTAACTCTACAAGAGCTGGGTGAGGGGCTGGTGGGAATCAGCGGCAGGTGAGTTTTAACCCAGACACAGCACCGACAGGGAGAGGACAGGCTTCCCTTGACCTGACAGAACAGCAGTCTCTCGCGAGGTCCCGGCCTGCTGCAGTGAACCTGGTGGCCATGCCTCCAACAGTGGTCAATGTGTCTCCATCACCCTTTTCCCTCCGACTCCTTCCAGTGCTCTGAATGAAACTAGTAATGAACGGTGTGCAAAATGCATGAGGTACCATGCTGGGTCGGCAATTATGTCGCCCTTTCCCAGGTGCCGCAGTTCTACCCATCTGGCAGCTACAGGCCAAAAGACACCGTCCA